CACTTGAGACAGGTACAGGTCACTGGGCAAAAGGTGGGAATTGAAATTCCTGGTGTAGAACCTGATAAAGAAATAGCTACACTGGATGCTGTTGTTGGCATGGCCCTTTCATTCTTTCTAAATTAAATTTTGATTATGTGAATGACAGTAAATATATCTTTGTGGAAGTGTAGACTTAGTTTCTGAGAGATCCCCAAATTAGTGCTATACAAAGGATTAAGTAGGTTAGTTAGAGGCACGTTGTGATCAATTCTTTTTGATAATCTCAAGGAACAAAACTGGTTTGCAAACACTTTTACCAGAAGTTGAATCTTCCATCAGAAGCTCTCGAGCAGGGCAGGCTGGATTACAGATTTATCCTGTGCACTGGTGCTGCTGCTTAAGCATCTTATGTACTGAGAGGTTAGAACATCAAAGAGAGGGTGCCCAGTGTCTGCATTTCACTTTATATTTAAATTGGTAATTAAGGGCCAGAGTGTAGCAAAACCGATTTTTGAAAAGTCACTTCATCTTTATTTGGGGTTAATTGCATTAATGCTCACAGCTTGACAGACTTGGTTCATGACAGGAATTTAAAAAATAAAGTTGTAGGGGATATGCAGCCTTCAGCATTGTCTGGAAGTCCTAATTCCCAAGTAATCCTGTTGTTCATGCTCATGAAACCGCCTACAAAACAGCACCTTTGAGCAGTGCTTAAGTTTATTTTTACAGGCAGTGCAATTGTGTGCTGCTGGCTTCTAACTTGAGCAAAATGGGAAGATTTTCATGCAGATTTGTACAGAAAGGAGAAGCATGTCTGGGTGAAGCAGGATGAAGTGGGGCTGCAGCTGGTTCCTGGTGGGAATTCAGAGGACAAGGAGGATTTTGGGTTCTAGCACAGATCTCAGTGATGCTTCTCATTGCCCTGGGTGGGCTCAGGGCTGGGCCCTTGGAGTGCAGGTAACAGCAAATGTCAATAGGGGTGCGTGCCATGAACCAGAATTGTCTCTCATAACTTTGTGAGGGCTCCTTGTGGGTTTATTTTTGTGTTCCCTGAACTTTACTGCTCTCCCTACAGAATGTTACAAATATTGGCTGCAATCAGGGGTAATCAATATGAGTGCAGAGTATGGATTAGAGCACGTTTGCAAGCTCTGGTCAGGACAGACATCTGTGAGCCTGCAGAATTAGACATTTTATGCATCTGCACAATAACTCACCTTTTTTTTGTGGAAGGTTCAGAGACTGAAAATGATCAAAGCTTTAATTTCATTTGCTGTCACCAGGGACTTTGTGTGTGTGTGTCCTTTCCTGTATGCCTAATCAAAAGTCCTGTCTAGGAGCAATACTGCATTGTAGATTTAAAAGCAGATTGATGCTCTTGTCCTCTGGCCTCACAGGCAGATTAATTCTTTATTCATCTTTATTCTGAACTTCATATGAGCAACTTTGAAAAGAGGAGCAGCAATTCAGTTAAGCCTGGTTCCATTAATTTTGGCATAGAAGATAACATGCAAGGAAGCCTGTGAATCCACTTGGGATCATCTTTTCCTATTATGTTGGTAGCAAACCTTTGTTCTTTTTATTACTCATTATTCTGGATCTGCAGTCAATAATGTGAGGAGATGCATGAGTCTGCCACACATCAAGTTTTCTGTTGCCTTTTCAAGTGACATTCTCCTTAGATCACTGTTGTGTGGGCTCATTCCTTATCAGCAATGAGTGCTGTGTTGTTCATATGAATGCACATCAAACACATCTGCAGTAGCTGTCTCCTGTGCTCCCCTGACAGTGGTACATGGATCTACAAAGACATTTTCTGAGAGCTCTCTCCCCCTCCTTCCCTTCACAGAATAGAAATCTGGATGGCACCGCCTTTGGAAGCCACCTGGGTATTTATCCTGCTGCCTTTCCCTTGCTGAATTTTGTTTTCTGTTCTGACTCTAAGGAGCCTGGGTATTATTTAGGAATTTCAAACTAACCCACATGCAGTCAGGTTCTTAGAGTGGAAGTCAATAAAAGACTCAGACTGATGTGAATGGATAATTCATCAGCTGCATATAACTCCACCCAAATTATCCTGAATTGCGTTTAGCTGCTCTTTGCATCACAAACTTCCTTTGCTTTTTATTTCTGTGTGTGTTTAACACTACCCAGGTTCAAGGGACAGTGCACTCCTGCTCTTGGGTCAGCTGGGAAGGTGAACTCCAGGTGGGACTTAATTCTTACTTATTTTATCACCTAGGGATGAAAAAATGGGTGACGTTTCTGATCATGAGACTGGACTTGAAGTCCATGTACCCTGAATGAGGGTGGAGAGAAGGTTCTTGCCTTGCTCCAGCAAACCCATGGAGCTGTAACTTTGCTGTAGGAGCATAAAGCCTGCACAAGGTGATGGGAAAAGCAGCTGGGGGCACTGAGGAGGGAAGGCCTGAGTACCTCTGGCTCTGCCCTCTGAGATGGAGCATCTGAGGCCATTGTTCAGGCTCACAGGAGCTTGTGAAGCATAAAAAAAATTGTGCAGAAATGTAATTTAAGTGTAAAGATACCATGGATCATAGAGCTATTCAAAAAAGCATGCGGAGAAACCCAAAACTAAAAAACCTAGCACAAATCTGCTGTGCTCTGTTGAAAGAGAAAATCATCATCCTTATTTTTCAATCCGGTTAGGTAATGAGGGGGAAAAGAGGCAAAACAAAAAGGCACTGAGGGCAGCAGGCACAGCGCAAAACCACGTAAACTTTTCCTAGTGGGTTGGTTGGATTTTCCTGGCACAGGACAGTTCCCTGCACTGTTTCTTTAGCTACAAAGGTCCTTTTCTTTTCTTTTAGAAATGGCACTTGAAAACTGAATCTTTTTTTTTATCTCTGTGTTTAAATTTGGATATGACTTGACCGCAGTGAACAGATGCCATTGGAGATTTTCCTGGCTGGTTCCTCTCCAGAGCAGTGTTCTGGGAGGGAATGGCCATTCCCTGCTGCTGGCTCAGGTTATTGGAGTCACCCCATGGGTGTTTGTCACCACTCCCTCCCAGTGGAAGAGGCAAACCTTTTCTGTTCAGTATCTGTGGATTGCTGTCAAAGTCCTCCAAACACAGTGGTGGGCAGCACAGGAGGAGGAGGATGATTTTTTTTTTTTTGTGGCTACAGGCTCTGAGTAATTCCAGGGGATAATAAAACCCATGGAGTGGGAATATGGATGCTGGATTTCAATGTAGAGCCCAAATCTTTGCTTATCTCTTGTTACAAGCAGCCATATCCTCCTCTGTTTGGGCTCACTTTGCAGCAGCTTCTTACCCATTTGAAATGTGGTCGTTGTTTTCCCCATATGAAAGCAAAGCTTGGGCTGACCAGAACCACCTGGCAGCAGCACAGCCAGGGGATATCAGCACCAAGAGCACCAGGGCTGCTTTTACTGTGTCCTGTATGAAAGGGAAGAGGGAGATCTTGGAGACACAGGTTCCCAGCCTGTCTCAAACAGGCAGGCATCTGCCTGCAGAATTACATCACCCAGCTGCCACGGCAGCGCTCACCGTGTGCGAGCTCCTGCAGTTGGGAGCAGGCTGATGAATAAGGGATGAAGGCGGGTTTGTGAATGCCTCACGAACTGTGCTGTGGGCACACAGGTGTGTTCCTCCCTGAGGGCATTCAGGACAGGCAGGCAGTGCCCTTGGGGGAGGTTTGGTGGGATTTAGCTCTCCCACCCCGCCTGTGTGCCGGCTGTTCCTGCCCCTTTCCATTCATTGCACTGCACAAGGGTTTGCTCTTACAGGTCAGCCTTGCTGATGATTTTAGCCAAAAATCCGCTCCTTTCATCGATTCTTCAACAAGGTGCTGGTGGTAGCACGCAGCTTCTGTCCCAAAAAGCTTAGAAAGTGTCAAATCCTTTGAGGAGGGGTTTAAAAAGATTAATCATCCTTTGTCTTCCACCTTCCCTTAGCTTGTAATAGGTAAAAGTGCTCAAATGGAATGTTTGGGAGCTTTAACACTTTAACCCCAGGAGGGCAGGGTGCTGTTTAATTTTAAACTGTCTTGAGGCAAGGCTGGAGTCTCTCGAGGATGATTATTGCAGTGTTTATTTGCTGCGGGCTGTTGTGAAGAGCTCGGCTACAATGCCCAGCTTTGTTTTTCTCCTGCAGCAAGTGCTCTGTTAATGGAGTTAGTTGAGGAGTAGAGTTTAATCATCTCTTCAGCACGTTTGGGGTGTTTTACCCATATGATGCAACAGCCGAGGGGGAAGTGTTGAACAGAGGGATGGCTCTGTGCTGTCAGAGCTGGAGGAGAAGTTGGTGCATCTGTTTTTCTGCGAGGCACTGGCACGAGTTGTGTTCAGAGCCAGCTTGGATGGGGCTCTGAGTAACCTGATCTAGTGGAATGTGTCCCTGCCCATAGTAGCAGGAGGTTTGGGACAATATGAACTTTAAGGTCTCTCCCAAGCTATTCTATTTCTGCAGGACCGATTCGCCACCCTCCCCTCCTACCCCTCCCTGCTTCCCTGCGCTTGCTGGTTTCCCGAAGTGCCTTTTTCAAGTGGGATTTCTGCTGTATAATTTGAGCACGGGCTCCGCCGCGGGAAGACGATGACAGCTTTGTTCCCTGTGTAGCGGATAATGAGGTGTTGGAGGCAGACAGCTCGGGATTCGCGTGTGCAGCGCCTGCCCAGCTCACCGGAGTGCGGCAGCGCTCCGCGCCCTCCTCTCCTCCCGCAGCATCCAAACGGGCTCCTTGTCGGGGCGTATGGCAAAAGGGTTAACATTTAATTAGACAACACAGTGCTAGCTAGCGGAGCTTAACGGAGCTTTATATAAGCTGCTGAGGACAAGGCTGCTGTGTGAGCTGCTGGTCGCGCCGAGCTACTGCAGCCGCTGGCTGGGCGTCAGGAGCCGGGGCATGCCTGGGAATCTGCCCAGGAAGCGCCGTGAAAGAGGAGTTTGTTCGAAGGCTCGACCCCGGCTCTGAGCGGCAGCATAAAGCCGGGCAGCAGCCTCATGCCAGGCGTGTGAGCGGCGCGGCGCCCGGCCCATGGCTCCGGTGCTGATGTGCGGCGTGGAGGATGTGCTGTTCAGCGGCGGCCGCCTGCTCTGGACCGTCACCGTGGCCGCGCTGCGCCGCTGCTACTCGGCCCGGCTGCGGGCGGCACGCCAGGCGCTGCGAGCCTGGTGCGGCCTCCGCGATGTCTACCAGGTAAAAATCAATATATAGCCAGCTCAGCGTCCCGGCTTTTCCCTGCAGCAGCATCCCGGCACCTGCCGCCGTGCGTGTTCTCTCTCCGATGGGCTGAGGATCAATGAGGCGGCGCTGGGAAGGTGCTCGGAGGGTCCCGAGCTGGCTCTGAGCTGGTCCCGGTGTTGCTCTGCAAGTGCTGGCGTTCGGGGGTTGGGGGCATGCGTTCTGTGCCAAGTGTGTTTTGTCAGTCAATCCACAGGTGTGTTGGCCAGCTGCCCCCCTTATAACAGCCCCTGGGAGCCCCTCTTGCTGCTGTCGCCATCCGTGCCCTCGGGATTTTGGGGCAGAGCTCTGGGAGTTCCTCTCTGCCTGTGCCCTCTCCCATGGGAGAGCCTGGCTGTGGCTTTTCTTGCTGTGTTTGTGTCACTGAATAGCGGCAGCTTGTAACGTGATAGTTCTGTGCATGGCAGAGGGATTGCTGCTCGGGAGGGGTGCAGTGGGTCCTGGAACAGAGGGATTGCTGCCCGGGAGGGGTGCAGTGGGTCCTGGAACAGAGGGATTGCTGCTCGGGAGGGATGCAGTGGGTCCTGGAACAGAGGGATTGCTGCTCGGGAGGGGTGCAGTGGGTCCTGGAACAGAGGGATTGCTGCTCGGGAGGGGTGCAGTGGGTCCTGGAACAGAGGGATTGCTGCCCGGGAGGGGTGCAGTGGGTCCTGGAACAGAGGGATTGCTGCTTGGGAAGATGCAGTGGGTCCTGGAGTGGCAACTGGGGGGCTCCCCTTAAGCACAGCCCTGTTCTTGCAGTCACTGTGGTGTCCAGTTGCAGTGAGGGTGGTGTCACACTCTCGAGTCTGTTTTTGCAGGCATTATTTATTTCTGTGTCTGTATTTCTGTCTCACATGTGAACTTGCGCTGCCTGCTCTCAGTCTCGCTGTGTGTTTGCTACACCGGGGTGAATGTTTCAGAGCAGCTTCTCCCCTCTCCCGGGTGTGTTGCAATACAGAGAGTGGCACAGCTCGTAGCAAACAGCTCTCCAGAGCCACCGGGATGCAACTTCCACGGGAAAGTCCTCATGCTAAGAGGACATCTGTGCCTGTTTAATCCTAAGGTGATCTGCTGGTATTTAGCTTTAGGGAGGGCTCAGGAGTGGGAGAGCAGCTTTGCAGTGGTGAATGTACCAGTGCTTGGATGTACCTTGGGCAGATCGTGTGTGGAAACACTGTGGGGTGTGTCTGACACAGGTGTCACTGTGGATATGGATCCTTATATGGATCATGACTAGTTAGGGAATGCAGGAGTAAAGGTGTCATTGCTCGTCCTTTACCCACCTTTACTGACCTGTAGGGATGTGGTGGGATGCAGCCCTGACCCTCTTCCTCCTCTCTAGCTGCACCTGTGCTGTGTGGGTGTTATTTTCAGGGTCCATTCACATACAGAGCATGCAGTTTAGACTGCCTTCCCTCCCCACTGCATCCCCATGGAGGTAAAACCCCATCCCTCCAGGGCTGGAATAAGGACTCAGTGAGGACCAGCTCGGACAACAGCTGTATTCAGCCTCTTCCTCGTACTCTGATGGCTGGCTTGAGGTGAAAAGAGATTTTTTCCATACACAGTGTAGCTGTATCTCTGCCCAAACTTACTGTGTCCTAGAGGCTGCTTTGTCTTGTCTTTTCTTTATGAAAAGCATCATGTGCCAGTGTCTGAAAGTGGGGATGTGAAAACGGGTGAAAAGAGGAGATTGGGGATATGAAAATGGGTGAAAAGAGGAGATTGATTCTTCTCTCAACCTTGAGCCAGGGAAGTGGACAGGGAGTGCCCTTCCCCTCTGTCCACAGCTTGTCCTGCTGGGGACAGGCAGGGACCTGTTGCTCCTCACCTGCTGCTCTGAGAGCCCTCTCTGGGAGGTGAAACCTGGCAGGAGCAAAGCAACTCTCACATTTTAACATCAGGAATTTGCCAGTGGCAATTTGGGGTGTATTAAAGTGAGATGGCTGAAGGAATGCCCTGCAGCCCTTCCTTGCTGGGTTGTGTAACACTTTGCTTTTTGTGCTGGTCTTGGCTCTGAGCTGCTCAAGCCTCTGGCTGAGTCCAGCGAGTGCAGGACTGAGCACACAGTGCTAAAGGTCACCCAACTGCTCAGATATCAGAGCCTTGCAGGAATCACATTGGTTTTCTTAATTTTTTAAGCACTTCAAGCTATGGAAACAGCTAGAGGCAGTGGCTGGGTGACCCCTGCATACAGGAAGGCACTCTGAGCCACCCTGGGTTGCATTTCTTCACCTCAGGCTCAGTGGAACAACAGCAGCAGTGCAGAGCACTCCATGGGGCTGTTTCTCTAAGGAAGTGGATGTTGCAGTGTCTGTGGGACAGGGCTCTAATCTTGGGTGTGAGATTTTGTGTCGCATCATTATCACAGCTCCTGCATTTTCTTGAGCAAATTGTTTTCCTCTGTTTCCCTGTTCTTTGTGGAAAGGGTATAGCAGCACTCCTGCCTGCCAGGGATGCTGTTTGTCCTCTCAGATTTTTTTCCCCAGAAGTCCTGTAGTCATTGCAGCACCATGAAAACACCTTTTTGCTCTGTGTTCTTATTAAAATTAACTCCTGGACAGGTGCTTAACATTTCCCACCTTGGCTTCATGGAGAACACTCACATTTGTGTGGCCCCTTTGCATTCATATTCCAGATGTGAAAAATGCCATGGGTTTTTGTGGTTAAACATGGCTTTTTCCCTCTCTGAGGGTTCTCTGGACTGTGCATGATGTGACAGACCAGGACACCAGGCAGAACTCAGTGCACTGAGCTGCATGCAAGGGATGGCCAGGGTGAGGTGAGGTGACAGGCACTTGTGCTGCTGATCAGCCCTGGAAGCCTCAGTTTGCTTGATCAGTATTTGGGGATCACATTTTGTGGGCCAGTGGCTGTTTTTGTGTGAGTTGGATGCTGCCAGTAAGTCTCTATTTCATCACCGGTACATTTTTGTGGAGAAAGGAAAGCAAACAGGATTCCTTCTCCTTGGGGTGCTGTGTGTATTGTGGTGAGGGGGATTTTTTGTCTTTTTAAAATACAAAATATTTAGTAGCCTGGTGGGAGAGCTGAGCTCGAGCTGCAGCACAGAGAAGCCCCAAACACCTCTGTGTGTCTGAGCAGGGTCCCAGCTGTGTTTGGGAGCTGGCAGGTGCAGAGGTGGTCACGGGGCAGGCTCCAATCCTCTCTGCCAGCATAAAGCCCTTACCTGCCTTAGCAGCTTTAAGCACAACTAAAACCCACCCCAGCAAGCACAAACCAGCCTTTGTCAGTCACCTTCTCCTTGGCCTTTGTGTTTCTGGCATGTGGATGTGGGAAACCTTGTGCAAGGTTTCACCTGTTGTCTCACCTGGGCACAGCGACTTCACCCCAGCCCAGGCACTTCCCCAGGCTGATCCTGGCTCCAGGATGCTGCCCATCATCTGTCAGAAGGGATGTCCTGCTTGCCCAGAGCCCCTTCATCTGGAGGAGGCTGTGAGCCAAAGCACTGCTGGGGTTTCCCATTTCACTCTGAAATAACCCCAAACCCCCAGGAGGGGAGAGGCTGCACAGTGTGAGCGTTGATTCTCTGAGCCCTTGGGTTGTGTGCCAGGGAACATTGTCTTGTCCATGGCAGGGAGCATTTAAAGCCTGCCCTAGAAATAACAGATTTGCAGAGACAGCTGATGGAAAAGCTGGCACAGGTTGTTTTTCTAACAGCCCCAAGTCAGTGTGAATTATTTGGGCTGTTAGGGAGAATTCCTGGAGGAGAATTTGGCATAGAAACCTTTACTGAAGGGTTCCCATTTCCTACCAGAGAAAGGACTGAGGGCTGTATTTTGTTGTGGAGCTCTGGCACATAGTGCTGTGGCTTTTGGGGGTCTTCCCAGAGCCCCTCCTGATGCCTGAGATGGGACAACATGGCATTTATGGGTGTCGTGATGCTATTCCCAGAGAAAGCTTTCTGCAGGACCCTCCATGTGCTGGGTTTATAGGCCACCTGTCTTAGATTTAATTATAGGGCAGTAAAACAAAGTGAAATTTTTATATAAATGAGGTTAATAAGCAGCTGCAAGGCCAAAGACTTCCAGAATCAACATTTATCCCGTGTTTAGTTACCTGCATTACCACTGGCCTGGTTTTCATTGGGGTACTGACACAAAGTTTTCCTCTGAGATATCAATGCCAGTTGCCACCAGTGCATCCCACAGCACAGGGATTCCTCAGTGTGGTTAAGCAGGAATGGGACATGGCATCAAAGTCTATTAATGATGCAGCCAACTCTTAAAAATTAAAAACTGGTCAAGTGAATGGTTTAGGGTCAAGGTTGAATGTGTGTCAGTCAGTCTGCTCCATGCAAAGTGGTAAAAAAATTGGGAAAACTGTTCCCAAACTCCCTGCAGAATACAATGGCAGGTTGAGATTGATCTGCTGGGTCTGCAGCCAGATATGGGAGCATCTCTGTGATGAAGCAGTTTAGGAGTAACTGAAATTACCAATTGCACAGTAATTAGCTGATAAATTATGGCATAACAGTGTAAACTTTTCACATGGGTCTTTTGGACAAAGTGCTTTTTAACCTCTGAAAGGTCATTTCCTCTGCATGAAGTGAAAAATGTTGCTGATGAAGCACAAGAAATCAGCTTTGTCCGTGTGTCTGGCCCCTGGTACCTGGGGTGGGAGAGGAAGTGGCTGCCTTGTGTTTCCTCCAGCGCTAACGTAGTTGGTTTGGATAGTGAGCGCCATGCTTCCTCTGCTGCCACACCTTGACTTTCCACTATGAAAAGTGCTGACAACAAACTGAGGTGCCTTTTTTCCTTCCTCTTTTCACAATGATGAAAAGCAGTGCTGGAGTGGCGAGGGAGAGCACAGAGGTGGGGCTGGACTTGGTTCCACACCACACAGACCCCAGAGTGATGCTCAGCAGGAGCATCTCAAGGTGTTCTTACAGGTCAGGGCTTTTCAAAGGGAGCTTGGAAACCCTTTTAGAGGACACTGAGTATGTGCTTGTGTTC